AATATAGATATGTGCTAGACTATGAAGATGATGATGTCTTCCAGCCAAAAACAAAAACAAAAAAGGAAGCCATAAAAATATTCATGAGGAGTTGTTATGCTTTGTGCTGTTCTATTCTTGAACAACTTTTAGATAGGAAAAAGAAACGTACATTGTGTAATTTGGGAAATGAAAATGCCACTGAAAATTTTCATGCATTCTATCCTATGGAATTTAATTTACAAATCCACTGTGGGACAGATAACATATGTAACAGAAATAATTCCTTATAATAAATATTTTCCCATGACAAGGCTACCTGCTCAAGATCTCACACAATTAGGCAAATTCTAGAAACCCTACAGAGTAGAACTTATGTCAGTACTGCCTAGTTGTTCAGAGGAGAGTTCATTTACTGTGCACTTTCCTTAGCTTGCCCCTTCTGATATTTCAGGTTTTTCTGAAAGGGAGACTTTAGTAGGGATGAAAAATGCAAGGGAATTAAAATTGTGCTTCTCAAGCTACTCTGGGACTACTATCACCTTCAAATTATAGTCGTTCATAAATAAACAGCAAAACTGGCAAACTATGTAATTTTCTTTAAAGTTGCATCCAGGGTTTTGGTTCTTTTTCTTTAGTCTCCACACCCCTTTATCTTCATCTTGGTTCCCAGACCCTTCTAAAGAACTTTTACCAAGGATAGAATCTTTTCTAAGCATTGAACTATTTTCCTGCCACTAGCTATTTACTATATGCTCATTATGTCATCTGCATGCAACATGTAAAGAGTAGTATACCAAACTACTGTACTGTGCTGGTCGATGGGGATTGCTCTTAGCAAAGAACACTTCACATCTTATCTTATCAAATACTAATCAAAACTACAGGCCACTGAAATGACCCTTACAAAGAGCAAAAATCTTGATGCAACTTTGATCCAGTCCACTGACCTTTCAAAAGAAGCAGTTCTGAGCTATACAGTGTTCTAGGGCATTAGTCTCATAAGTAAGTTTTAATGTGTGATGAATGTTAAAAAGAAACCATAGAAGGATGCTTTAATAACTGAGCTGCAAACGACACAGGGAAGGGAAAAAAGTTCTCTGCTCTACAGGATCCCGCGGGCTATCTAAGAAGAAGCAGCCATGATGTTAATGGTGGTTGATTCTCCAACTGCAAATACCTCATTACTGCATCAGGAGATGTTCAATTATACCATGGTTTTAATTTAGAAGATGGAAAGCTACAGTTTTAATTCATTTCTCTCTTACTTTTCTTCTTCCCCATCATAGTGATGGAAACAGCATGCAGCATGATTGTATTGTTGTCCCAGCTCTGTTTAGTGATGTACTGCTTTGCATGATACCAAGAAAATATTTCAAGTACCTAGTGATGTTTTCATTTATTTTGGCTTTCTTTTCTCCCATATCAGTGAACAGCAAATAAAAAATGCACACATACATTGTCAGCTATGAAAACATATGTTTAGGTAACAATATACAGACTGAGCAGGTTTCAGTTAAACATTTAGGAATTCACACACACACACCACCACCACCACCACCAACAACAACAACAACAACAACAGCAATTGGTGAATAAAGTATCCCATGAATTTGAAACAATGCAGGAAGGGGATTAAGAGAGAAGAAAGATAAGTGAGAAATGAAAAAATAATATTGTAATCTCAAAACACAAAAGAAACAGTTATTTTTTAAAATAAAACTACAGAAGAATATTGAAGATGGTCAATGGGTACACATCTCTGAAGGCTGCTGGTGCTCTATTCACCAAAAGATGAACACTCTCAGACTTTCTTGCACAGTGATGAGCATAAACTCAATGCAGGGCACTTCATGTTACCAGTGTTCCAGAAATTCCACTGGTTCAGGAGATTTGTTTTGTATAAGTGGTCAGTACACAGAACAAACAGACAAAAAGGCCTAAATGTATCAAAAGTTAAACTGCCAAGAGCTTGCAAATTTCTCCATTAGTGGAAACTGGTACTCTGTGGGCTCATTTTAAACCCCAAGTTCAACTAGACCCATACTGATACAATTTTATAACAAAGGCAATTGAAATCATTTAACAATAAGAGGGATACATTTAACAAGTAAAATTTCATCATTTTTTGTAAAACAAAATGTCAAAATATCCAGACAGTTATTGGCTCTTAGTGTAAACCTCACTGCAGTCTTAAACAGTATTTCATCTCTCACTTATTTTAGTGAGTCTCCTCCAACAGTTCAGGATTATCCAGGTATTCATGCCTGATGTTACTTTACAAATAGTCATCACTGACTTTCTTTTTTTAAATGATTACTTTTGAGTTCAGAAGTGCACAGTAAAAATAGTGACACCAGGTAGAATACCTACAAAGGTTTCCAACTCAGAAATGTTTGACTGACACAGAGTGTGAAATGTATAGGGGAACCCTCCATTTCACAACTTAAGAAATATAGCTTCTTGCTTAAAATTTTTCCTTTTCCTCTTGACCACAAAGCCTACATTCCCCTCTCTCCACCATTCATGCTTTGTACAGATGATCTTAGGGCTTATCAATTTTACTTGTGGTCAGGCATGATACTCCAAAAATGGAATAGTAAATTTAAGGTATCAATTTTCCTAATTATCATCAATTGTCATGTTGAAAATAAGACCCCACAGGCTTGATTTGCATTGAACACATAGAAGGACACAACATATTAAAACTTCAGCCTATTTGTAAGCAGTTTGCAAGCCAGTTAACTATCTGTTCCTATGAAGAGCCCCTACCCCAAGGATCTCTCTATAGAACCCTCCTTCTCAGTCTGTTCTTAGGTAACATCTCCATCATTTTGGTTCGTTAGTAGTGTGTTTCCCTAATCTCTGGAAAATTTTGCTACAGTATATATATTTTTAATGTGGCATATTAAGTAAAAAATTAAGTGCGACCAAAATCAACAATTTTCTCTGGTTCATTTGTTATAAATGCAAGAAAACTAAAACAGACTGATGGTTTTCTTCCAAGATACATGGAATAAAATATTCATATGACCTTCAAAAATAGTTGCTGTTTGTTCTAGACTTAGGCCCTTATTATTAGCAACTCATTTTTCTTAAACTTTAAGCCACACAATATCGCCATAGCAACTGTTTATTTTTCAAACTCGGTAGGCAGATATTGTCTTCAAGCTAAGGGCATAGAGGTGATTTGTATACTCCATTATCAATTCCGGAGTCATCACCTTTCCTTGATACAGTGTGACATTACCATGTGCCATCCCTCTCTAGTCATATCCTATTACTGTCAGATAAGCTCCTTCTGCAAGAAGGGAAGCAGTGTTCTGTTGAGTCAGGTTTGTCACATTTCATTCTCCCCGAGTATCTGAGGCAATATTGTCTGACTCAATATAAACAGTGAAGAATTAGCCTTCCGTAGTACATTAATATTTTGAATCAGAAATCTTCATGCAATGGAAATTGGGAACAGAGAACAAGTTTAACGGTTTTAAAGATTTGAATTCCGCAACCAAATAATTAGGGCCTTGTACATGAAGCAAATAATTCATAGAGATAAATGAAGAATTTATGGAGTTTTTCTTTATGATTTAACACATACAAACATTTTTTCTAAATAATGTACATGCTTTCTCAAGAAAATGGTCAAACATGTTATGAGTTCTATGAAAGAACTCATAGCAGTAATTTACTGAGTTTATATGAGTTAAGCTTCAGAAAAGACAAACTTCCCTTTTTCAACCTCATACTTGCTAATAGGGGAGAGCATTCTTCCTTCCTCAGCATAATTTGAAGTACATATTATGAAAATAGGGTTAAAGGAAATTAACAAGCCTAGGTGAAATATTGTCTATAATATTCCCTCACAATATTCCTGAGTCACATAAGATAGCAGTACCCTGTTGTTAGTAATGTATCTCCAAGATACTTCCTCAGAGCATTTAATAGTTGCTGAGAGTTACATAGAAACTGAAAGTTTTATTTGCTGGCAACAGTAACAAAAACAAAGCAGTTTCAAAACCTGGTATTGAAACATAGATCTATTAATTGTATAATTTTAATTGAAAGCATAAATTCATTTTTCTCTGGCCCCTCCATCTCTCATTTTTTGCTTTTCCTTCATTCTTTTTACCTTTCCTTCCATTTTCCCTTTAAATAAACCTGGAAAAATCATTTAGAAAGAAAGAAAAATTTTAACACCAAATAGAGATAATCTCAAATGATACTGCAAAAATACAATGATGTTAGGAAACCATATATTGTTAGAGTACACACACACACACACACACACACACACACACACACACCACAGATACACAAACAACAATAAAAGATAATGGTGGAGAGAGCATACACTTTTAAATGAAGCACTCATGGAAAGTCACTTGAATGCTGACCTTGTGGCTGAGCCTTAAAAAAGAATGGAGCAGTCCCATGATTTGGGTACCTGAGTACATTATAGGCTGACAAATGGAGTGACTCCAGTCAAGACCAGTACAAATGAAGAAGAAAAACATAATGTCTGGGATAGACAATTGAAGAGGAGGGGGCAAGGGCAGGGTCAGGGACTGGGACATAGAATTGAAAAGGTAAATAGTAAATTAGAGAGACCTCATACTCTTTTAAGTAGCTGACATTTTATTGTCAGGATGAGAATAAGCTCTTTGACAACATTTAATAGAAAGAGTAAACTGAACTAGGTCTTAACATACTACTTTAGTATATGGAATAGAAATTTTAGGCGCAAAGCTAAAGTCCACAAGACCCACATATATTACAGAGTCCAGTAAAAGGATTGGTAATAAAATCCATTAATCCATCTATTTTCCAATTAGAAATTTCACTAGTTAAATGGGTATTCTAAGAGTAATAACTATCAAAAGGATTAATCTGAGTTCCTAGCACATATCAGTGTGTTCACACAAGGGGAAGGCACCCTACGTGCCCACACCACACTGAAAAAAAGAGAGAGAGAACTGTGAAACAGACCAGGAGACTCTGGAAGAACAAAGATTATAACTTACCATTTTTAACCTTGCAAGTTCTGTTATCGGACTGCATTATATAGCCTTCCACACAACTGCAAGCGTAGGATCCATATGTATTCAGGCAGGTCTGGCTGCAGGTACCATATATGCTACATTCATCTTGGTCTGAAAGGAAAATCAATGTCACTTCTAAGCAACTAATGCTTGGAGGTTGAAAATTTTCCTTGAAGAAAACACTTTTTTTCAAATAAAGTATTGTTTTCAAAGGTGAACTAATCCCAATAAACTATTTAAAATAGTTCCAACTAAAAGTAAAGTTCATCACAGACTTAATATTTACAAAGTGAAGAGATCATATTTAGTATTAAATTATTTGTTAGAAAGGGTGCTGACTTCAGTTGTGATGGTCAATGCCAACTATCAAGCATGATTGTCTTTATAATACTGTGAAATGCACTGTAATGCATTTTTGTTAAACAATTCCAATATTTATAAATGCAGCTGTTTCACTTAAGAATTAACCATGTGGAAGGCTTCTAATTGGCAGATTGAATGTGCTTTTTGTGCCAAACCTTGCAAACAATCTTCACTATTTCAAAAAGGGAAAGTATCAAGCACTCATTGAAACTAAAATTGTTATCATTTTTAAGTGTTTGTCATTTTATTTTGCCATTGCTGTATTTTTCTATCTGAGATGTATATGGACACACTTGAAATCATGGCATGCATGCAGAGGTCAGGGGACACTTTAATAGAGTCAGTTCTCTCCCCCATTTGCTTTCATCAATTAAAAGGAACCAACTCATGTTTGTGCACCAAGTACTTTCATCTGCTGAGTTATCTAGCTAGACCTTAGGATTTTGCTCTTAATTAAATTTGGGTTATCATCTATAGTGCTCCTTCTACTTCTATTGTTCCAAGCGATAATTGCATTTTTTTCAGAAAAAAATAGTTTTCTTTCTCCAATGAGCCTAACTAGATACAGAAGTCACTGAATATAGAAATCACACTTTAGTAAAACTTAAATATAGACCCCATGCTCAATAGTAGATGGCCAATATGAAACAAACTCAATGGTATTTTTGGTGATCTTTAAATTTTTTCTGTTTGTTTCTAGCCTCACAGATCTTTTACTTACATAGTATGGCTTCTGATTTTGTTTGAATGTGGTTTGTGTGTGTGTGTGTGTGTGTGTGTGTTCTGCTTTTTCATTTGCCTCTTTGTTTCTGCTCTTGTGTGTTTGTTTGTTTTGTCCAATTTAAAACATTTTTTACTATTCTATTGTTTTCAGATGCCTTTTTGTTTTGTATTGAGAGAAAATAAAGGAGTGGATTTGAATAGGTGTAACAGTGGAGAGAATCTTGGAGTAGTTGACATAGAAAAAACCACAATCAGAATGCAATATAAGAAAAATCTGTTTTCAATAAAAAGGAAAATTTTACAATTGTGTGAATTTAATCAATATTAGGATTTCTTTATTCCAGCCAAACATACATTACAGCTAGATCCAACAGTTTCTAGAAGGCATTGAGTTGACATAGATACTGAGTTTAAAGGAGTCAAGTAGTGAAAGTGTGTATAAGGGAAAATGTTATTTATAGTTCTGATAATGAAGTAATTTTCATGCAAATCTAGAGTCATATATATTATATATAACATTTGGAAGATATTAATTAAAAAGGAGCCAAGCAATGACCTTTGTTTTCCAATTCTAAATGAATTTGGGTTAAAGATGGATTGGTGAATGTAGAGAGAAAATTTAAATCAGAAAAGTAACTGAATATTAATTTCAGAAAAATGAATCTTATAACACATAAATATAATATATAAAATATATGTATATGATTTATATATAAATATGTATGTATTTATGTCTACGTATGTGTGCATACATATTTTTTGAGACAGGCTCTCATGAGGTCAAGGTTGGCTTTAGAATCCCCATGCAGTCTGATCATAATACTCCTTTGCTACCACACACACATCACTTTAAATTCATTATGTTTTGAAGTCAGTGGCAGTAAAAATAGAGAAAAAAGCCTAGCCAAAACTTTAAGAAATAGAGTAGCTATCATTTGAAAGGTGGATAACAGAAGTGAGCAGTCTTCCAATATTGAAGTAAAGAGTATAGGTAGTTTGGATTTTAGTAGAAGGAGAGCATGAGTTTTACTCGTGTAAAGTTTTAGTTCTCTGTCGTGTATTCTCTGGGTAGTGTGTGGAAAATGTAGGTCTGGGACACATGTGCATATGAGAGAGAGAGAGAGAGAGAGAGAGAGAGAGAGAGAGAGAGAGAGAGGGAGGGAGGGAGGGAGGGAGGGAGGGAGGGAGGGAGGGAGGGAGGGAGGGAGAGGGTTGACTTTCTGACCTATGCTTGGAAACTTGGAAATTAGGAGCATATGAATACTAGGCATTAAAAGAAAAGATAAATTTGATTATTTCACACAATGAAAGGAATGTGAAGACAAATATCACTGAATGTAGGGAGAACAGGTGAGGAAATAGCCTACATGAGGATCCCCTGAGGGAGTCTCAATGATTCTTTGAGGATATTAAAAACAAGGGTCTAGGCCCTGCCCTATATGAAATGTCAGACTATGGACACCCCCATGGAGGGCCTCACCCTCCCTGGGGGAATGAGGGGATAACGGGGGATTGGGGGGAGGGCACGGGAGGAGGGGATGGAATGGGAGAGGGACCTGGAACTGACTTGTGAAGCAACCTTGTTTCTTATCTAAATTTAAACTGGAAAATAAAATATAAAAATAAAAAAAACAAGAGCTTTCCAAGGATGTCAATAATTGTCAATAACTGGAATTAATGACTCAACAGGAGCCAATAAAAAGTGCCTTTGACAGACAGCAAGTAGGGTACCAATCTTGGAATAATGTGAAATTCCTATATTAGATAATAAATGATTTTCTATCATGCATTCTACACTTTGAAATTGTGTTACTTTCATGGCTTTCACAGTGTATTGTGAAACATCTACAAAGAAGAGTTTTACCTCTAATATATTAAAACCCTTTAAATGACCTTGAAATTATAGTAAATACATAGTTCTTAATATCATAACTAAAACAGAGGAGGCTTAGATAAGCTAATAAACATGCTGTCATTTCAAGTAACACAAACTTTCAAAGTTTTATGGAACAATGATGAAAGGGTTAGTCTTTCTTAGCCATAAAGAAGAGAAAAATTTCAAAGATGCTTTTAATGAATAATGACATTGCAAGACAGCAATGCATAAAAGGTTGAAGCAGAAGTAATAACTTTAAGAACAAAATGCAGTCAGTTTCTAAAGATCTGGTTATTAAAGAAGGATAAGAACAGCTGTAATGTGACACCTACAGAGGCAAGTTCTTGGCAGAACTTCCTTCCTTCCTCCCTCCCTTCCTCCCTTTCTTTTTATTTCCTTTTTTAATGTTAAAGAATATGAGCATGTTATTTGACTACACATTGAGGCAGCTAAGGAGCAGTTTTTCAAGATACATAAGAAAGTTGAAAATTGGAGAGTACCTTAACCAACATAAATATTGAATAAATATTAAATGGAATAAACATTAGATGGAATAAATATTAAATGGAATAAATATTAATTAAACATTAAAATTGAAATAGTGAATGCATGAAGTATGTCATATAAGAATAAAGGACACATGCTATGCGGAAATGTAAGGTAGGAGAATAGAGTAAGTTGATTTAATAGGTACCAGAGGAAACTAACTAAGATCTGTGTTAAGTACATCCATTGACTGAAGTTGAAGGAAACAGACTAAGAATGCATACTGTAGGGGAATAAATAATTCCATGGTATAATTTAGAGAGGGATTCTCAGGAAATCGGTAGCAGATAATAACTGTCCACTTTCCAAAGATCTTTTAGTTTAATTCTACAAGGCAGGGTATTGTGACAACCTTGCTCTCCTTCCCATGAGAAACTCCAGCAGATGTCCAGCAAAGATGGAAAGATGATGTCACCTCCAACACACAACTATCTACTCCTGGGATTAGCAATGAAAAAAGTCTAGTTGTTTTGCCCCTCCTTATATAAGGTTTTGTCACACATTTAGGTTACAGTCAGAAATTCCTGTGACTGTATTTTTCTTCAAATATTAATAATCTTTACCTTTGTGTATCACCTCTTACTATCATTATGATAAAACAAAGAAAGGTAGCAGGAGTGAGTGAGAGAGAATGAGGAAGGAAAAAATGGAAATAGAGAGGGCGAAGCAAAAGGAAGAAAAGAACATTGAAGACAGATAAAAAAGAAACAAAATCAAGATAATCATTCATTTGAATTCTAGTTTCAGGGTTGACTTCTGGGAAAACCAAAGCTAATAAAGGAATTTAATAAGGGAAAGCAAAAACATTTCTGTATAGCATAAGGGGCTATTTAAGTTAAGAAAGAATTAACCTATATGGAATTCTTTACTCTGACTTTGAATTTCTTTATAGCCCTATAAGAACTTGCAGTCAGGGATAGCTCATTTGAAGTAAGAACTTTAGAGGATAGAAAGAGTAGTATTTGGAGCTATGTCTACAGTAATGTTGAAAAAATTTAGTTTTGCATTTGGGAAAGTTCAGCCCTTGGTTGCAGTAATAATGCTAATTTACTTTCACAGGTTTTCCAAATTCAACCTTATTGGTTTCTATTTTAGTTTAACTGACATGATTGTGTTATCCAGGAAAGAAATGTGATGAATAATTTCCTTTGTTCTTTTAACTTAGGCAGATATTATTGCTGTGACATTCATGTAACTCCACAAAATTGGCTGCAGAAGAATAGGCATGCTGTTTCTTGTGATGTTGCCTTCTTTTTTTTCCCATAAGGACAAGGAAGTGTCTGGAAACAGTTGAAGAGAAACAATGATTCTCACACTTAGCAAGTAAAGAGTGAAAGCAAAATAAAAGGAATTCACTTTCTATGAGTTACTTCTGAAATAATCACCACATATATTTTTTCTCCATTTTCAACAGAAGAAATTGACTATGGCTGAGTTTTTATTGTTAGTTAAAGTTTAAAAATTCCTAGAATTCAATTCAGTTCTACATTGACTCCAGAAAGCACAAATCTTGAATTCTTTGGGTTAAGACTTAGTGAGAGAAAAGGTTGCTCAGAGGTCCATCCCCTATCCCAAAGCATAAATAGATCAGGTTTGAACTGGGAAAATCCAGCATGTCCATAGACTTTAGATTTCCTATCACTTATCTTTGGCTGACTTTTATTATTATGAAGACATTAGTGCTTATTCTTTCAAACGTGAACTTTTTTGTGTAGTCTTCTAATTTTTAAAGGAAAATATAAAATGACATTTTATCTTTCTATGGCAGATTTAAGATAAGGTAAATATTTGATTATGAATAATTTTATAATATTTTTTGTTTCCCAGAAAACAAATAATAAACAAAAGTCAGGTCCGAAATAAGTTTTCAAAAAGGAAGGAGCCTCTTCGTGAAATACGAATCACGTAGAACTAAGGTTTTGAGTTTGAAGGAGAATAACTCCCACAGTGTTGTCCATTTGAATGCTCAATCCACAGTTAGTCAATGCTGTTTGAGGAGACATTTTTGAGTGAATGAAGAATGTTGAAAGGAAAGGTGTCATTTTTGTCACAGAGGGTTTTAAAATTTAAAAGACTCATGCCATCCCCACTCTCTCTGCTTCCTGCTTGTGGTTTAAGATATGATCTCTCTTTCCTAGCTCCCTGCATGCCTGTCTGTCAGTATGCTTTCCTAACATGCTGGTGATGGGCTGTTATACCTGTGGAACCATAAACTCTCATGTAAGTTGCTTTGGTCAAAGTGTTTTATTACAACAGAAGAGTCACTAAAATATTAGTTTGTAATGCTTTTGACACTAGTATTTTGAAAAATCTTTTCTTTCACAATTCTCTTAAGTCTAAAATTCTGTATTAAGGTAAAAAGTGGCAAAATAATCACCACAATAAAATTAAATTAGGGAAAACAAAATTGTATTTATAAGTGGTCTTCACAATGCAGTGTTCTCTTCTTGTTATATATTGCATTTACATAATTTATGAATATATCTTAGCATATATATTTAACAGATTTAAGTATATATTTGTGCATAAATATGCATATATTCAGAATTATGTGAATGCATACAGTATATTGTGTTTATAAGTACATAAAATTATACACACATTAACATTCATATCATTAAATTCAAAATAATAAAGCAATGACCTATATTATTTCAGTGTTGCAGATAAATCATTTTGGAAGATGACTACTTGCTGAACCATGCTCAGAATATCTAGAGCACTGAAACCTTTGAAGAGCTGGATTAAAACCCAGGAACTCATCGTGCTAGACAAGCCTGGCATAACCAACACCTAGGCCCCCAAATCAGAATTCAGAAATGGAAATGATGTTAAAGTCAATATTTACATTGATTACTGTGGTATTAATTAAACATAAGATCCCAAGTTATTGATGTCAAAACCTTAAAGAGCATTACATACATAATAATCAACTTATTTAATTAGATTTATACTACACAGCAGCAATATGATAACCATAAACCAATTATGAAGTTAAACATAATAAAATATAGTTTGGTATTGGAAAACGATATTTCATTATTTTCAAAATCTGCTGTTATGGAAAAATAAGGTGAAAACTGGAAAAATGAACATATAATATTCAAGTTTTCTGGATAATGCTAACCTTTAAATTTTCAGGAAAAAAAAGAACTGTTAATATTTAACCTGACTAATGATTATTTTCAGATACCTCACTAAATGTTTCTCAACTAAGACTGTATACAAGTACTAGATATTGCTTTCTCTTTGGATTGTAAAAGCTATCTCAAGGAAAAAGAATTGAGGTGTCATACTTGACATATTTCCGTATTGGGAAATGGAGAAGCATGTAGACAAATGGGACCCAGAAGGAAATCTCAGGTTATCAGGTCTGTTCTTGAAGGAGATTTGGACATTTACCTTCCAGTTCTCTATTTTTTTATGGTACAGGGGTACAGGCTTTGTTTATCATATACTCATATTGAAATACTTTGTTGCTTTTTAAAAGGGTCCGGAGCCTCAAGAACTGTGAGCCAAAATACATCTTCTTTCGTCTTAATATATTTATCTCACATACTTGGCTAGAATAATAACATGCCAACTAATACAGAGAGTCACATTCATACTTGCCTTTACAGCTTTTCCCATCTTCTGTTATTTCAAATCCATCTTCACAGTAACATCTTGTAATATTTCTGATCACTGCACATTTAAACTGGCAATTCAGCTGCTGACAACTGGGTAGCAGATCTGCAGAGGAAAACAAAATACAGCTCTGTATCAAACTGTGCACATACATCTATTTCAATTTAAGTATTGTTAATATTAAACAAAATTGAGCCAGAGAGGAAGGTACACCTGCTGTCTTAAAAAGTCTGGTTAACATTTATTTGAAGGACTGGTAGCAACACTTAATGTTAATCTGTATTCAGTTTTCAGCATGTTAGCATATGACTATATTCAAGTAACAAGTCTTTTCAAATTCTGGTAAATTAAATTATTTCAAGAGGAAAAGTGTCAGTGTGAAGGTTCATTTTCCTGTCCATGTCTCTCTGCCTGATGCATCAGTTGATTTCCTATCTTTGGAAGCGTGCTTTGATTTACCAATCCATGTGTAACATGCGTAAAACCAATGTGAGTACATTCTAACTCAATGATTTACTTTTCATTGGTGGAAAATATTAGATAAATTTTGGACATAATATATTTCATTATGCTTGTTTTCTTCTAGAAGAAATACATCATTAAAGCACAAGTCAGAAACCCTCCAAATAAATTCAGATTCATTGCAATGGTTCACAAAGACATTGGGTAATAGGAGCACACACTGCACAGGTGCTAATGGGAGCAGAATTTTCTAGATTTGAAAATCATTTCAATAGAAGGTATGAGTATTTATCCACTCTCAAAATATTATTCTAGTGTATTAGAACAATACAATTTTCCCTTAGGATGAATGATAAGCATTCTGAAGGCTAAAGTTAAATGAGTCAAAATATGTCAAAATTTATTTGATGCTTTATAAAATATAAAAATAGTAGACAACAAATCAAAATAATACATCTGTAACATTCTAACTTGATCACTGGGTACCTTAGTAGGATATAATTATTTCTACTGTTATCTTACATCTACTGCTTTCAATTACAACATAAGATTCTTTCATCATCCTTCTTTTAAAGCTCAAAACCTCCTTCCTAAGATTCACTCACTTACGTTATCCTTGTGTCTTATTTCCTTCAGGAAGACAGACTGGTCAGTAGATATTTTACTAGTTTTACAGTACGTGTTTGTTCTCCTGTGCAAATTCTTGCCCTCTGTCTTTCACACTTAGTTTTGAGCTAACAACCATCATCAACACACCACCACTTCTCTGCTAGTCCCACCTCCTCTCTCCTTTTCAAGGCCATTGCTTAAGTTGTGATCTGCTTCCCCTCCTGGTCATTTTTTTTCATTTACATCAGGTCTGGGTTGTCAAACTGAAGCATAACTCTATTTGTAACATTTTATTGGAACATTGCCACACTCACTATGTACTTACAGCTCTCTGATTACGTTCATAACACCTAAGAGAACAGTAGGCCCTCAAAATATAAGGTATATACATTTGCCTGTTACAGAAGAGGTTTTTTTGTATATGTCTAGGTGCACATAACTATGTATATATCTTCTTTTTCCTTGTATTTTTAATTCAAGCTTACTTCATTAACTTCCCTTCAGGACTTGTATATGAAGTCATATTGACCTTCCTATACAAATGCACTGAACCTGATTGACCCTCAAATGACCTAACCAACTATCAGCTCATCATGATTCCAGCATACTATGTACTTGACTTTCTACCGTCTCATGACCTTTTTTGTTGATTTCCATTTCTTTTTATCTACTTGAAGGTGTAGTATCCCGGGGAAGGAACTGAGGTGTTTTTCTTTGACTGCTGCTCATTTGTGAACTCCGTTGTTTGGAATATAAATGTTGTCCTTGAATTAGAAGGCTCATTTTGTCATACTCAATTTCTAAATTTCATAAACAGAATAATAATTGAGATATTGTATTAACTTTTTCTTGAGAGTTATGTATAACTGTTTTTGTTTTCTTTCTTTTTTCCTTTCCTTTTTTTCCAAGACAGTGTTTCTCTGTGCAACAGCCCTAGCTGTCCAGGTACTAGCTCTGTAGATCACGCTAACATCAAACTCACAAAGATCTGCCTGCCTCTGCCTTCTGAGTTCTGAGATATGTGCCACTACCACACAGCTGTTTTCATTTTCTTAATGTTGCTTCAATTAATATAAAACACAAGTGAAACTACTTTGTAGTTTAAATATTGGATTCTGTTAAAAATACGGATGTAGATTTTACTAGCTGTTTAATGAACAATGTCCATGCATATTCTCTAAAGAATGCCAATACAGAATATGGAATGATTGATTCCTCAAAATATTATCTTTGTCTACTGTGTCAGGTGGTAATTTAATGTTATCATGTTAGCTGGATGAATCTGAGATGTCTGAGTTACGTCATAAGGGAATATTTCACTTCAGAAGAAATTAAAAAACTGCATTCTGGACTGGTAAATAATACTAGACAGATTATTGTGACTTTGTGTTTTGGCAATCCACATGCCCATCCTTTTTTCAGTGTCCTGGTACTTTGAGAAGAAATTTTGAAGTCTGGCATCAAGAATCTTTACAATGCTCTTTTGGATTCGCACTTTGAGTAATCAAGGTCTATTTTATCTCCACATAAATTTTAGAATCTTCATGGCTGTTACTACTTGAATGTCAATAGAAGTAGTGCATAGATAATATCATTTTTCTAATTCAAATATTAGAAAATATGTGTCTATACTTAGTGTTTATTTGTGAGTTTTATGATATTGTAGTATACATATTTTATAAATGCATTATTGTATCCACATTTATCATTTTTAATTTATTAAATTTATATTATTTACTGAAATGCAGTAGAATTTAGAAATGCATTTAAATATTATTCACCAAATAAGTGTTTTATAATATTGTTAAAATAAATATAACTGATAACCTATAAATTATGATTACATAATAATTTTAGCAAATTAAAAATATCTGCAATGCAAAAAGATTATATTCCTTTTTTGAGTTGAAAAGTGAAGAGAAAAGTAAACAATTCTAGCTCCATACTTTTGACAACTTCACTTATCACTTATAATTCCTTAAAAAGACAAACTTCTGATCTTTACTTTAAAATAGTTTATATATATATGTATATATATATATATATATATATGTATAAATTTTGCTGAACATTTTCTCCAAAAGAAAGCTTAGGCCACAGGTTATCACAGTAGAGTATATTAACCAGGTGTTTTCTTAGAATTAGAAGTAGAATAATGCTGGGCTGGAATTCAGTCCTATGATAGAGCACTTGTTTTAAAAGCACAAGGCTCTAATTTCCAACTCCAGAAATAGAAGAAGTAGCTACATAAACAAAATAACAACAGCAAAAGGAAAACCCGTACAAACTTTTCTAGTAACAGAATTGTTGGGAACATGTATGAGATGGCAATTGCCTTAATCATCACCAAAGGAAAACAAAATTTTATATTGAAGATTGAACCATGGTATACATGGTATCATGAAGACCCTCAAACCTCATTATTCATTCACCTTTCTAATGTAACCAAGGGTTAGATTCTGATTCATACTAAATCAGTTCCTTTGAGAAATTATTAATATAAGATTTAAGTGACTATAAAATCTCTATAATTTATAGTGGACTGTGTAAGTATGGAAATACCAACCAGTTTAGAAACAATGCAGTCCAAGAGGACTAAGAGCTTTTCTCCCTAGCAAAGCCATTCTGTTTATACAGGAGTATCATATAGGTTACCTTGGTATTTCACATTTAAATTTTACAGTAATAATATATACAATTTGTTTTCTCTTATTATAACAAATATCCAAAGCCATTAATCTTATAAAGATAAGTAATTTATGTTTACCTCACTGTTTTTGGGGATGTACCTCATTACTAACTTAGCTTTGGTAAAGATTTCATGACAGATGGCGCTACAATAGCCAGAGGATATAAGGGATAGACAGATGACATTTTAAACCAGGAAACCAAGTAAAGATTCAGAACACATCTCAAAAGCTCATATATCTTGCTCTAATAAGACTTCACTCCATGAGAACAATGTGCCTTACTGAAGATGGGGCCATGGATACTTTGAAGTTGTCCCAGTATAGTCCAACTCTTAAAACTCATAATACATCAAATGCCACACAGGGGACCAAACTTTAAATGGGCAAACTTTTGGAGAAACATTCTTAAATTTCATTCGTACCTTAACAGCATGATATTCTAATCTGCGAATAAAAGTTAGCCCAAATTATGACTTTATCTTGATTAGTAAATTTAAATCTGAACAGAGAGGTAAACATCTCCAACTTTATCACTGATGCCTAGAAAAATATAATTGTCAAGTACAAATTTCATGTGCAGATTAAGGGAAGTTTTCATTTGTAGGAAGAATGTAGGAAAGAGAATATATAGTGAAGAAAACTGTTCTTGTATAATTATAGAAGGATACTATATATATAATATATATATGTGTGAAGCACAACTCATCAGTCACATGTATACAGCCAGTGTGACAGAAATATGACAATATTTGTAATTTTAGCTACTTTATAAGAGTAGGGGAGGCAATATGATGAAAGTAACCCCCTTTTCAATAGGGAGGTTAGGTTTCCCAGCAGAATTTCTACTTATTTATCATTTTAAGAGGAACTATAACTAAATCTATTCAGAATGTGAAGAAGAAAACATTTGTCTCTACAGGCGTTAATATTGTTCTTTAAAATATCCAACAGAGAGCCAATCCTTAGGAAAGAATGATGTTAAACCTGAGATGGTATTTGTATGTTCAAGACTGTGAGAATTTACAAACCAAACCAAATGATCCAACACAGGGCATAGCGCATGTTATAGCAAAAATGTTGAGCCTATTGACTTCTTCCGACCTATTTTGCAAAGTGGCAACTAGGAAAAAAAAAGAAAACTAAGTTTATAATGAGAAATGATTAATAAGTAAAACTATAGCAAACAAATACATGTATGAACAAAACTTAGGTGATAAAAATGAAATAAATGTGTATTAACTGTCTTATCTACTACAGTATTCATGGTATTAAAAAGTAGAGATTGATGCTTATGGAAGGGATAGTCCAATAACTTTGACAATCTAACTACACAGGTTATTCATT